GAATTTCCGCTGTAGTTCGCTTCCAATCTTTGATATTTGTCCGTCAGCCAGAAAAAAAAAAATTGTAAATGAAATAAAAGCATCATGTGATGGAAATTGCTCGAACGATTTTTATTCACTCGTTGCGATGCACCAAAAACTCACTCGTCCCCTGGATTCCCCGTTCGTTTCCTTGATTCATCGCAAGTCGTGAATAAAAATCGTCCGTGCGCACTTTCCATGGAGTAATCTCTATTTCTTTCCCTGACAGAATTGTGACCGCATCAAGCAGTCTGCCAGCAGTGCAACAAGACGAGTGTTTGTTGTTGAGTGCATGGGTGGTTATTGCGGTTATCTAGCAACCATGAGCGCCCTTGCGAGTGGTGCTGACGCAGCGTACATCTTCGAAGAGAAGCTTACTCTTAGAGATTTAAAGGTGTGTACCAGCGTGGCAACTTTTTGAAGACGCCTGAGCACATAAATTTCGCTTATTATTGATAACTCTTTTTTTTTTTTACGTTCAAGTCTTGAGAGATCTCGACGGCTGTAGACTTTTGGCTTATGTGGTGCATTGAAACGAGGCTGAGCACTGCAGCGCATCACACTTTCCAAAACTTTATCACCGTTCAGTGACAAAAAACTTTATCACCGTCACAAGATGGCAGTGCGTGATATTGGTCTATTGTACCCAGGAACGCCAAGCTTTTAAAGGGAATCTCCACTCTTCTAGGAAATCGCGCACAAAATGTTCCAATTGTACTACTGATTAGTCTGACATAAATAAATTTCCTTACCAAGCTATCTGATTTTTTTTTTTTTTGTATCGTTTTCTAAAGAAGGGTCTCACATCCACTTCGAATGTCCTGCGGCCGCCATCTTGAATAGTGCGCAATGCACCCTGGGGTGATGACGTGTAATAGTTGCTTGGTGCACTCGCGGTGATGTGTTTTACTCATGATGATGCTAAATTGCTGTCGTCTGAAGAACGTTTTATTGAATACGTCACAGATCTTCCCCATATTCCTGTCTCTTTTTGCTTTAAGAGTGCTCCGGCTCTAACTGTGCGAAGTGAAAAACCTTGTATGGAGAATGTGCATACTGTTGTTAGGGTGTAAGGGGTTAACAATTGTGTTGTATTTATAGATTTGGGAAAATCTTTAGGTTAGCGTTGTCTTTGTTATGCTTTGTTTTTTCATCAGAACAACATCGAGCATTTAATCGACAAGATGAAAGGTTCTGTCCGAAGAGGACTCATCTTGCGGTATGAACGTTCATTTGTTTTTCTGCGATATTTAGACAGGCTGGCCCAGTTCAGCTTTTAAGCTGGTTTAAATATGGGCTTGTGTAGCCAAAACAAAGTCAGATCACAACACAGGGAGCCACTTTCCCTACTCTATACGAGGGGTGCGTGGATTCTTTGACATCCGCAAATGGTTAGACATTCTTATCTTCTCGGATAAGGACGATAAACTGTAAGCCCCGTTCCCTGCTAATCCCTGCTAAGTACAGAGAAGATGCAGGAGACGGGGCATACGGTTTATCGTNAAATAGAGAACAAATATAATAAAAGGAGTCTATATCATACATTTGTGTTGTCTTATGGTAATTAACTTAGAATTTAAAAGTTTTGATTTTAAAAGTTCTCGGTGTATCACAGGTGCGAAGTTCTTTTCGAAGGCCGTTTCATTCCTTTCTAGCCACGTATTGAGATGGAGATAAGCCCACAGCAGTCTCGGTTCTCGGGTGATGAAGTTTTCTCCCGTCTTTCAGGGTCCTACCACCACAGCGCATCCTTGCAACTCATTAAAACATTTTTGTTTGTTTTTATCTTTATTGTTGTTGTTGTTTTTTATCATTATCATTATCATTACCTTATTTCCTTGTGCAACTCAAACGTGCACGTGTTCCAGCCGATGATCTTGTTGCCTACTACTGCGCAGTGGTGCATTGAAACGAGGCTGAGCACTGCAGCGCATCACACTTTCCAAAACTTTATCACCGTTCAGTGACAAAAAACTTTATCACCGTCACAAGATGGCAGTGCGTGATATTGGTCTATTGTACCAAGGAACGCCAAGCTTTTAAAGGGAATCTCCACTCTTCTAGCAAATCGCGCTCAAAATGTTCCAATTGTACTACTGATTAGTCTGACATAAATAAATTTCCTTACCAAGCTATCTGATTTTTTTTATCGTTTTCTAAAGAGGGGTCTCACATCCACTTCGAATTTCCCGCGTTCGCCATCTTGAATAGTGCGCAATGCACCCTGGGATGATGACGTGTAATAGTTGCTTGGTGCACTCGCGGTGATGTGTTTTACTCATGATGATGCTAAATTGCTGTCGTCTGAAGAACGTTTTATTAAATACGTCACAGATCTTCCCCATGAAATGTTCGATCGGCGGTCGACATTTTCAGAATGAAAACCTGGCGCTTCTCCGGCTCTAACCGTACGAAGTGAAAAACCTTGTATGGAGAATGTGCATACTGTTGTTAGGGTGTAAGGGGTTAACAATTGTGTTGTATTTATAGACTTGGCAAAATCTTTAGGTTAGCGTTGTCTTTGTTATGCTTTGTCTTTTCATCAGAACAACATCGAGCATTTAATCGACAAGCTGAAAGGTTCTGTCCGGAGTGGACTCATCTTGCGGTATGAACGTTCATTTGTTTTTCTGCGATATTTAGACAGGCTGGCCCAGTTCAGCTTTTAAGCTGGTTTAAATGTGGGCTTGTGTAGCCAAAACAAAGTCAGATCACAACGCAGGGAGCCACGTTCCCTACTCTATACGAGTGGTGCGTGGATTCTTTGACATCCGCAAATGGTTAGACATTCTTATCTTCTCGGATAAGGACGATAAACTGTAAGCCCCGTTCCCTGCTAATCCCTGCTAAGTACAGAGAAGATGCAGGAGACGGAGCATACAGTTTATCTTCCTTATCCAAGAAGATTAGCCATTTGTTTCATCCGTTTGCGATTGTCTGGTCATAGCTAAGGTAGCACATTTTCCTCAGTTACTTCAAGACTCTAGCGTCAGTCTAGTCCCTCCCTATACAACATAGCCTAACCGAGCGCGGTTTATTGCTGGGTGCCTGAAAACTAATCGAAGCCATACAGTTAATGATGTATTTTGACAGAGATGGTCGTATCTGTTTTGCCTTTACATAGAAACGAGAAATGCAGCGAAAACTACACAACTGACTTCATCGCGGCTCTATATCGGGAGGAGGGAGAGGGACTTTTCACTGTCAGAACCAATGTGCTCGGTCACGTTCAGCAGGTGAGAGATTGGTACTGATTCTGATGCTTGTCCACGTGATATAAC